GGCGCTCAGGAGCCTCCCTCCCCGCTCAGGTAGCCCTCCTGGACCGCAACTCGGAGGCCGGGCAGGAGAGTAAGGCGGCCCTAGACGAGCAGTTTGAAGCGCAGAGGACGGTGTTCATTCAGTGCGACGTTACGGATCCGGAGCAGCTGAAAGGTAAGAAGGAAACTGTGAGCGCTGCTCTCCCGGTTTTACATGCAGCAACCTGAAAAAGCCCCGGCTGCTGCCCCAATAAGTGTGCAATTAAGGTTTCTGGAGAACAGCCTACTCCCAATCGCTTCTGACAGTGACTCAAAAAGGATTTGTTTCTGAACCCGCAGCTGTGAAATACCACTACCAGCGCACATGCATTTCCCTGTGTTGCTTGGCACATCGTAAAGAAAAGCCAAAGAAATCATTTCCATTGAGTGCTGTGTGTGATATTTTTGCATGAAAGCCTCTGCAGGAGGTTATTGTTATTTTATGAGTAATATATTGAAACTTTAAAGCATGGACTTGCTTTTTATGAGGCTTCAGTGCAGACTCCAAGCTGCATTCCCTCATCACAGGAGTAATAAATTCTGCTCTGGGTTGCAGTGCTCTTTCCATACAACACACTTACTTTCAACATGGGCTGCTGTAGCTGAAAGCAGAATTGGCAAAAAATGGCACACTGCCTTACCGTGGCGTTTAATACGAGCTGATAACATTTCACACGCATTTCACAGATGCAGGCAACGGCAAGAAGTTTCCTTCATGCATGATTTAAACTTATGTTTTCACTTAGTGAATAAATCGTGTTCCCTGCTGAGTTCTCAGAGTATCGTATAACGTTGATGTACCCTTCACGATATTTCATAAGAGGAACATCACTTCATCGAAGTTTCATTATTCAATGATACATTCATAAGTAGTGGCTCAGACAGAGATTTTGACATCACTAAAAGTGCCCTCTCCCCAGATTAATTTTTGTCAGGCTAGATGTGAACAGTTTTAGTTCTGCTTTTATTCACTGTGCTTCACTGGGCATTTCCTCAAGAGGACTGGTTGAGTGTATCCATTCATCTTTCACAGAGCATTGCAGCTAGTCCAGAATCCAGCAATATTGTTCACTGCTCCAAGTTCATGTAACTATGCCTAATTCCAAAGCTTTACACTGTCTTGTCTGCAAGGGAGATGCTGTTTGGTCTAATTAGCAAAGTTTTTAGCAGCTAGGTTGATTGTTGACTTTTCCTCTGAGTGAGAGGAGTAGCCTTGGTGCAAGAAAAAAGCATCCCAGGGGTAGGATAGCATGTGCTGCAGCATGGGTGTTACCCCGGTGTGCTTTCTCTCCCATAACTCTTACTCTCTTTAGTGCCAGGCTAGTGCAGGACCAACAGGGTGTGCACTGGCAGCTGGAGTGAGCAGGATAGATCAGCAAGCAAGGTTTTGGAAGCAAGTTAGTAGGAAAAGAGCAGTCAGAGTAGGATCAGAATGAGCTTTCACAAGGAGCAAGAGCAAGAAGAGGGGGGTCACTGCTTGTGCTCCTCTGATACTGCATTATTCCTGCCACAGGTTACTAAGCAAAAATTTTCAATCATGTCCTACAATCCTTTGGGGCTTCTGGGGTGTTTTTTAGTGGGTTTGTGGTTTTTGTTTGTTTGCTTTTTAACTGCTTCATTTTCCTATTTTCACACTTGTAATTGCAAGCTGGTACTTAACTTAGATTAATTTCACTCCTAAAGTTCTTAGTGGATGCATCAGGTCCTGTACTTTTTATGTTAAAGGTCATATGCGTGAATGAAGTTCCTCTTATTTTAACTTTAGCTCTTTAGGTATGAGACAAGTCCTAGTACATTTTAACATAGACATGCAAAGAGCTGAAAACCATTTGGCTCTTTTCTCAGAGTGTAAACGAGAAAACTACAGTTAGTCAAGACTGTGTTAATTAAATAAATAATTGGCAAAATTACTATTATCCATGGTGGTTTTTGAAGGCAAAATATTCTATTAAGAATGAGGTTAATGAGAGATGCTATTCAGAGAAGGCTTAAAAGGGAATCAGAGAGCCAGTTTCCATAATTTGGAAGCTAATTGAGGACCCAAATTGTATTTATTTTACCCATTGAAACTAAGTCAAATAATCAGTTCAGCTCCTAACAGAGTCAAAGGTTTTTATTTATCTCTGCTGATGCAGAATTGGAAAGATGAAAAGTGATTAAAGAGTTAAGTTAAGAAATAAAAATGAATTGGCAGTATACATAACAAAAGCAAAAAAAGATAGTGTCCCTTGACAGAGAGCCAAAAATAGAGGCTTTAGTAATACTAAAATATTCTAGTACAGAATGAGAATATTAGAAAAATCTGCACAATAAGGTTGGACAGATAAAACCTTTCGCATCAGCTGCCCAGTTCTTGTTCTGAAGGCAAGATGATGACTACGGTGGGCCTGCAGCATTCAGGGGAAAAAAAAAAAAAGGCTGTAACAATACTGGCCATCTTGTGCAAGAAAAAACCCCCAACTTTATAAAACCTTGCAAGTGCTGCAGAAGGAAGATGTCCCAAAGCTGCTGCTATGCTCCTAATGGAAACTAATAGCCAAAGACTAAAGATCAGAAAATCAAGATGGTTCTGAGATCACCTTTTAGTGAAGTGTTTTCATCAAGGTCTATCAAGCATAATATCAGTATACCTGAAACATTCTAGATTTTTTTTGCCAGCCACCAAACAAAGCAATAACGGGGTGTGGGGGGGAAGTATCTTGGTTTAGATAAGAATAAACACTTAGTGACCAGGAAAAATAATTGGTAGGAAAAATGAACATGCAATATATGCATGTCAAATTACATCTGCAATCATGGAAAATCTTAGTTTGGAATGAACATCTGGAGGTCATCTCATCCAACTACACTGTGTCAAAGCAGGGCCAGCCTAGATGAGCCTGCTCATCACTATGACACCATCATGTTCTTACACACACATCTCTTATCTTAGTTCGAACGCTGTCACCTGGGAGAACACAATGTCATTGTGGAAGTTTCTGAGCTCTTTATTTTGAAATTCTTTGGAAGATAGGTCACTATTTTCATCAACAGAAGGAAGAATATTTGAATTTGAGAAACACATTATTAAAGTTACCTGACAAGTAGGATGTATAACAATTTATTCATAAATGGAAAAATTTGTGCAAGAACTCTGATGAATTATTTGTACTTGAAAGATTCATATTAGTTATAATCACTCAATAAAAATTGCCTTCTTAGGTAAAATTCAGAGTCAACAAAGAAAATTGATCTGAACACGACCTTTTTTTCCCACATTTGAAATAATTGGTGTCAAATCTTGAATTCACTACACATCAAGTTATAAATGCTCAATTTATATAATTAGAGTGCCAAACATCCTACCTAATACAAAAGGTATGGGTGCTAAGGACTTTAATTAGTTCCTGTTAGCAGGTGTTATAAAACTGATTGAAAAGGTGACTATGGCATCTTAAGTATTTCAGATTAACTGAATATGTTTAATAGTGCTGAAGGGTTAAAGAATTTAATTGCATGTTGCTCATTAGAGGTTAAGAAAATAGTAAAGATGTTTTGGTAGACTAGTAAAACATTACTGTATGCATTTTATTCTTATATCTTACTTTCCATAAATGCTAAGACATGTCACCCTTGGATCTTACTATAGGTGCTTTCAAAAAAGTAATTGAACATTTTGGAAGGCTGGATATTGTGGTTAATAATGCCGGCGTGAACAATGAGAAGGACTGGGAAAGCACTATACAAATTAACTTGGTAAGCATTATTTCCTTTCACGTGCTCATACTTTAGTATTTAATGCTGAAATACACTTAACATTCCTGTGCCATATGATAGAACATTAATTACTGGATGGGTAAGTGCAGCTATTGAAACAATAACTATGTAACCACAACTCTACTAACCAATAAATATGCATGTGGTGGGTCCCTTAACTTGTTTATTTAACATGTACAACACTCAGATGTACAACACCCAGGCAAACACCAAACAATGTTCTTTTTCTATGAAACCCAGTGAAATCCCATGTAGGAGTAACAATTCAGTGCTCAAATCAGAACTGCATCTAGAGGAGGCCAGTTGGTTTGTATGAACGTTTTAGAACGTTTTAGATACTTGGAGACTCAGCTGGCCTGCATTAGAGAATAAGCTGACATTTGTTTACATTACAAGAAAACATGTTCAACTGAGATCTCCACATTTTCTTCATCGATGAAGCAAGCATACAATCTGAGCTTTAATATAGGCCATTTCACCGTTGCCACTAATAAAACATACAACTTGAGCACTTGCTTGCTGAAACCTAGGACATTCAAGAAGCCTGTAAAACTTATTTTAATAACTGACTATTACTAGTTCTTTGACATTATCTGGTGTCTCATCAAGTGAAACAAATGTCTGTTTCTCAGTTGAAAATTTTTTAATTTAGACTACACTTCTAGGAGATCTACGTTCCAAATGAAAGACTATCTTTCTAGGTTAATAAAATTCTGACCGGCTTGTATTCTACCACCTGTGAAGTTCTAACTTGGTAATTCAGCAAGTCAGCCCTATGACCAAAACATGACAAAGTATTATAATCTTGATCTGCAAAGAAAGTAGCAAAAGGAAGCTTGGAAGAGCATAGTGTGGAGTTTTCTCCAATCAGTCATTTGGAGCTTGTCAAGGCAACAAGAAAGCTCAGCATAAGAAAATTAAAAGTTTGATATTGTCAGAAATACCTGAGTCTTTATATCCCAATGCCTCCATGAAAACCAACTAACAAAAAAGATGCAGGACAAGTAACATAAGTTGTGTACGAGACAAGTTATAGAAAATTTTGGAAAAAAAAAAAACAACCCCACACTTTGATTTTATAATACTTTTTCTTGATCTTGTATAACTATCCAGGGTCAAATCAGTTTATTCTTAGAAGAGACTGAGTTGAGACCACAGATTAAAATTTCCACAACAGGAGAAACACATTTGCTCAATTTCCTTTGCCTTTTCTGTAGAACCTCTTTAAGATATAACGACACATATTTCTTCCTCTCTCTTTTAAATTAAACATCAGGAGATTTCATATTGTGAAGTAACAGGAGTGTTATATCCTTCGTGCTATGCAACATCATCCATTAATACAAATACCTTGAAATTGAAAGAAGACTTTATCTGTGTTCTAGATAACTTCTCTTTATTTTTGCAGTGGGTTTAACACAGGATGTAAGTAACTGTAGGCAGCCTCCCACCTGTCAAATTCGCAAGCACAGATAGTTAGTCCTAAGTGGAAAAATTGAAGCCTATTTTAGAAACACATTTGTCTGCAATACACCTTTACATTTAGCTCAAAGAAATGAAGGTTTTTCTGATCAGTAAGCCTTGAAGATATTTAATGTTTAGGTGAATATCCTAACATGAAGTGACACTGGAACAGTTTTTCAATGCCAAGGGCTTCAAACGGCAGGCAGAGACATCTAAAATGGCCAAGTGGAGTAGCAGTACAGCCATGTGAGCTAAATGAAGGCCACTCTAATATAAAAATACTATCACTTATCTTTTGAGTTGAATACTCTTACCCTGTCTAACCTAGAGTCAACTAACTAGGTTTTTCCATAGTACATTTCCATCTAATTACTGTAACTTCCATAAATCAAGATATAACATTTTGTCCTTTTTGGGGTTTTAACTATAACAATGGAAGAATAACAGCTGCTGCATGTAATATGTTATATTGGTTGGTTTCATGAAATATTTTTTGTTTCTTGTACAGAGAGGAGCAAAATATGTATGAAATACGTGATTTTTAAAATGTTTCTATTTTCCTGATGCAGGACACTTAAAGGATATTGTGTATGATCCCTAAGAACAGGAATAACTTCTATGGCCACACATTTTTGTACACATTATGCACATATTTCATATTTTAAAAAAGGAAAAAAACACACCTCTACATGCCAATCTTCATCTCAGTGATATCATTTATATATCGATACAACAAATACTCCCTGCCCCAGTTTAAAGTACAAAGTACAAAACTAGAGCAGTACAGAGCAAGATAAATCAGAACAAACACAGATGGGGTGTGTTCTTTACAGCTAAAACAATTCACAGAACTGGTTGGTCTTCAGGAACAATTTTAAAGGAGTGCGAGGAAGTTCCCTGATAGCACTTCTTGAGAAAACACGAGGAACAGAAAAGAAGCAGCAGGTTCAAAGAATGGGACTTAATTTGGAAGCCAAAGGAGGAAAAAAACCCACAATTCCTACTTGTATCTTTTACAGTGTCCCAAGAGCAAGAAAAGACAGCTTGATAAAGATGGGGGGGAAAAAGAGTATCAACTGCTAAAAAGAGATTTCTGTTGCAATGCTTTCCACGATTTTGCTACATTTTCTGCTAAACAGCATCCACTTCTTTGTTACTTTATTAATATTTCTATTAATTTCTTTAGTTAAGTATTTCAGCAATGCCATCCATTCTTCACCTCCAAACTCCAAATGCTGATAGTGTTGGCTTGATCAATGGCAGTCTCAACCACTTAGACCCATGCGAATGTACACTCTTGTTATTACGGTGCATTAAAAAAAAAAAAAATCTTGGCAGTCATACCGGAATTCCATTTTAAATGGATATTACCAGTGTAGTTTTAACAGTCCCTCTTCAGCACACGTACTTAGGCACAGAACAGCACAAGGAGGTATGACACGTACATTCTTGTCAAGAGTCCTACCTGCAGTCCTCCAGCATGACAGGAACAGTGTTTCTTGCATTCAGTTACATAATATGCCTAAAGAATCTAGAAATTTTATAATCTTTTTTCTCTTTGACTCCCTAAAGAAGGAGAAATGCCTACATTCTTACAAGCCTTGAACATATATTTTTAGTCAAACACGATGTACCATTCTAAGAAGTTTCCCTAATTTTATCTTGTGTTGCTGATGTAGTCTTTCTGAAACCACTGTAATTGTAGTGGCTGCTATAATTACATTTCTCCTTACAAATGCACTTAGGACATGCTATACTAAGACAACTCCAAAATTTACTTGAAGGTTCCTTTCTTATACTTTTGTCAGATTTGTGAAAACTGGCATAGGTTGCAGTATACAGTTAAATGCGGCAGTACTGGTATTACATATGGTTACACATTAAATATTCCTGAACCAAAAGTACAGAAGAACTTTGGCTATCTTACTGTTTTCTTATGCTAACAAATTATTTTGAGGAATATTTAACCTAATTCATCAAATGAAATTAAATAAACTTATGAAAGCATTTGACAGCAAAAACACAATTATCTTCTGTTTATGTGATGATTTTACACTTTCTAATACATTATTCTGGCAAAATTTTAAATTGTGGGCCATAACTTGCCTAAAAACTCTGCCTCTTAACACTACCAACATAGATACAAAGCAAAACAAACTACTATCTCTAGAAGACAAAAAGGCATAAGTAACTAGTTTACCAAGTCTGCATTTTAAGAAAACCAGAAATACACTAATTCTGTTGTTCAATGACTTAGTTAGTCAGGCAGAGGACTAAGTGTATAGAGAGATGTGGCCACAAAAAAAAAAAAAAAGTACCACTTACCTTGAAATCAATGACACAAGAGCCAGTCCTCCAAGTGCATAAAAAAGCCTGTAATTATAATTATTTTTGCTGTTCATATTGCACTAGGGAGGATATAAACCTACCCTAATTGCACAGTAAGTCAATGAACTTCCTAGCTTATAGTTTCAATGTATGTTTACAACAACCAGTGTTGAAGTACAATGAAAAGCTAATTTCTTTGAACTAAGAACTAACTGCTCAAGCACAGGTACTCAAAATGTAATACTATTCCTGTGTCCTTCAGGAATGCATGGGGAGAAAAAAAGTAAAGAAAAATACACAGTAAAAAAATAAAACATAGTGTTTTACTGCCACATTGTACAAAAGCTACTGATTTCTAGCATAGGATCAAATCCTACTGCTCATTCCTTTCTCCATTTTGCCTCTCCCACCTTAGGCTGCTTGTTTTCCACAGTTTGAGCTGGAAATACAAACTCAGGAGCCTGCAATTCCATTTCGTATAGCAATTAAAATAACCTGTACAAAGGAATGCCAAGGGACTTGCATGCTTGCTGCAACCTGTCTGCTTCCTAGAAAATCTACATTAAAGACAAAATCAGTCCCACCTCCCCATCCAGCAGAAAAATGCTAAAATTTTCCATGGATATCACTATCAGCACCTTGTTTCAGACTTTTGACGTTCGTCTCACACAGTTCATAAAGTACTTTGAAATGTTTCCTTATAGATAGCCATCAATTTACAACATCACAGTATGAAAGTCAAATGATCTTGGGTCAAATTCCAGCTCTGTGCTAACCTGCTTTATGAAACCACAAGTCAATGGCGCTCTCAGTTGTTTTTTGTTCGGTATCCCCAGCACTGAACTAGGTTAGTTCAGAAACCTACAGAAAATGTTAGGACGGATTACTAATTGCCATTCTGTTCTCTCAAAGGATCATACTGCCTTAGCACCTTGATAAACAGTTATCTTCAGCACTGAAGGACCACAGATAGACTTTCTCAACATAAAATGGCAGCATGCATAAGGAGACAGCAGAAGTATCAGACAAGAGGTGGCAAGGGAAACCTTATTAAATAAGCATAAGAAACTGTCAGTTGGAACACCTGAAACACTAGAAAAAAGCCACTGTGTACTAAATCATTTTCAAAGCAGTTGTCACTTGCAAAGGAGGGTGACTAGTGATGCTCTCGGCACCATCAGAAGTTAAAATGAAACATAGAGTATGAAAATTACATGTGCAATGTTGGAATACAAGAACATTGTACAATATTGGCTAACATTGGTTCCTAATGCCCATTGATGACTTGGAGTTTCATTAGAATCAGAGTTTCAAAATATGATTTCCTGTAGAACAAAACAATTAAAACTATACAGCCATAGGATATATAGAAATGTTGAGAATTACTTATTTTTTTCTTATTTTGACACTAATGTTTAAATTGCCATTTAATGATTTGTTAAACTTTAAAATGTTTTCAGTATTTGCAAAATTATTTTGCAAGGTTTACTATGCTGTCAGATACTAAGTTTTGGGTTTATTTTTGTATTGTGCTTCAGAATGCCTGCTCTCTAATTGAAATCTGTAATTTATGGAAGTTAAAACTAGGAGATATTCCCATACTCACCATTATAACTTCATTGAATAGAATCCTAAAGTTTCTCCTGGCAGTTGAAGAGTAAAGTTGCTTCTCTTGGGAGCACACTCAGACCTGCACTGCACCTTGATGATTCATCTTCATGATGTGTTGTAGTAAAATACCGTATTTTGGGAAGAAAACAAACATCGGTATCACTAAGATTACATTTTTTCAACAGCTAGGAGGACAACCGTTTAGATTGTTTTCTGATTTTAGCAATACTAGTTTTCAGTAACTAGGAGCAAACAAGCTAGGTGAGAGTCAGCTGTCCCAATTTTCACTTTACCTGCATTTAATTGCAAATTTGACTACTTTCCTACTCTTTGTTCTTGACATGTTCATGGACACCATACATGCAACTAAATGCAGTTGTAAACAAAGGAATTTTACAAAAATTCAACTCTAAAATGCAGTGTGCTTTCTTGTACAAATTTACGTCTCCCAGCATATTTTGATCTTGAAATAAGTCAGATTGGTTTTTTAATTAGGTAATTTTAGATTTATGCTTCCCAGAACTTCTATTGCAAACTATGAAATTATTGTTGGTTAAGAGCATGGGATTTAATTGTTATTCTAAAACTACACATGCAAAACTACACAATCTGAAGATACCTTTAGTTTCTTTCTGTTTCTTGAAAGGCAAATTACAGACATTTATCATCATATCCCAAACCCAAGAAACCAGGCTGCAAAAACTCATTCTTTACCTGTCTTACTTTCTATTGTGTGTTTCATGGTATAGTGAAGTAATAGCTGAGAATTCTTCTAGAATTCAGACTAAGTATTTTGACGCCAGCAAACAGGAATCCAAGGTTGCATTTTGTGTGAGAAGAGGCCTGAGGCTATGATTTATGTGCTTGCAGAGATGGATTTCGTAACAAAACCAAACCCCAACATGCCACTCTTCTTTAGGAAACTTCTTTCTTACTTGAGTGTTTAGCACCCGGATATATGAGACCTAGCTTCACTTTATCAACACAGGTGGATCTCCAGGCTCAGCTGGAAGGTGGCATTAAGACTTCTAAGCACACATGGTGTGACTTTTGTACTACAGTTACTTTGGCCACAGCTGTTCTTCCTTGAAGAACTGTTGAGGACTTTCTCTTCTGGAAAGAGAGGAATTCTAGCAAGAGAATTGGAGTTCTGTCACACAGCGCCTTTTACCTAGTGTTATCTGCTGAGCATGCAGACAGCTAGGTGTTTTTCATCCTGTACATTTGGCTCAAAGTTTATCTCCAGGATGTTATCAGCCCAAACATCAGAAATAGCCACGTCACTCGAGATCAGCCACACTCCAGGAAAAGATTTTTTAAAAGGATAACAGCAAGTGTAAGGATAATATCCAAATGAAGGTCTGCATTTATTTTGAAGACAACCTCTCACAATATCTACATAAAGGAGAAGGCTTCTCCAGCCACCTGAAGAAGTGCTAAGTTAATGGATTCTAGAGAGAAAAAGAGAGTAGTATTGTGATTTTGACAGGAGAGTCAAGCTACCCACTTGTCTTATAATTGTAGTTTGGTGAAGGACTCATCTAGCTCTATTATCTCTTTGAATGAGAAGGCTGGAGGAATAGAAAAATCCTCAACGAGCCCCAAGTTACCTCCTTCTCCCACTGATTTATTCTCTCTAATCATCCTAAGTGGAATTCTCTTTTTCTGCTCAGCAGGCTGAGCTACTGCTCCAGGGCATGACAGGACCTGCACCTGCTCTCCACAGACAGCATTAACCCCTTGCTTTCTAAATTGCCTTACATACAGTCTCTCATACATATGTATAAAAAAACATCACCCACCCTTAAGTCCCCATGATTCGCAATTCTGTAGAACTTCCCTGGTCAAAAAAATCAGTGAAATAATTATGCACAGATGTGGAAATATTTGTAGGGCCACTTAATCTTTTGAAAATCTCTCTATTTATTTGGATCAAATAAATAACACTAAACAGTAATAAAATATCGAGTTCTCATTTACAACTTGAAATAATATTTCCATAAAAATTAAACTGACTCAATGCATTTGTTGATTGTAAGTAGAAATTGTAAACCAAATGTGAACTGATAACAGGGAGATCTAAACACTCAGTAAATAATTATGAAACTCATCACTAACACAGCAATATAGCAACATTTAAATAAAATTAGTATTTTCTGCTAGGAGTGTTATCTACTGCTTTTCTTTTATAGCTTTAAAAAGTACATACTGTATTATACATACTATCTTGTTAACTTATATACTACAAAAACTTAGGTAAAGTGACTCACTGGGAGAAACTCTTAGTACATTTGGGGAGCTGATAAACCCAGGCTTGGTGTATCTTCAGGCATCGCAGTTTAAATGTCTGAAGTCTGGTGAGAGGAATCCCAGTAGAAATTCAAGAACAGATCTCAAGGAAACAAAATTATACAAATCTCAGTATAATTTTCTTCCTCAAAGTTTTTTTCTCAAAAAAAAATCTAAAAAACCCACATGCTGCAGCTAATACACTAACAAAATTTCACATCTCTTAGAATGCTTGTTGTATTACCTGTATTTGTCTGTTTACACTAACTTTCATTTGAGAACAATGGTGAAACTCCAATAACTTCAGTCAGAAAAGAATACAAATTCCTGAGAGCAGAAATGTATCACATAACCCTAAAAAGTATAAATTTCTCATGCCTTAACCCAAACGCAATTATAAGTGATAGTGCTATTTTCAGATTCAGTTTGTCCATTTTTTATAGAGTAGGGCAGTGTGTCTCAACAGAAACACTGGGATTTGGATCAGTTCACCTACCACTTATGTCCTTACATAAAAGCATGCATTACAAGTAAATAAAAAGTTATTTACTTATTCCTTATTTTCTTCACAGCTCTTATTTCACGTTGTAACATTTTAGTTTGATTATTGATATCTTAAGCAAAATAATTAAACTGTTATTTTCATCCATTGCAATTGTGCTTCTAAAATTACTGAGTTACGTTACTGTAGAGTATCTTCTGTGTTTAGAAACTTCAAAGCATAAATAAGATGACTAGTAAAATAATACAGGTACTAGGCACCACAATAAAAGCAAGTTTCAGGGTTTAGGAGCAGAAAAGAAACATATTTTGATTATAATTATCCCTTTCCCCCCTATATCAGACATCTGTGATTAGAGGAACCTACCTCGGCCTAGAATACATGAGAAAAGGAAATGGAGGTGATGGAGGAGTAATTATTAATATCTCATCCTTGGCAGGTGAGAATATTTTTGGTATAAACATTTTCTACGTCCTAGTTTGTTTTTAAAATAAAGGAATCATACTGATCAGTCACACTTTTTCTTCTTCCTTACACTCTTCCTTGTTTATTTCTATTTTTTTCTGGTTTTCATCATAGCAAGAGAAGTAATATCAAAGGATCACAATTTTCATTTGCTTTCTTAAACTCAGTTCAGTGAAAAATTTAGTAATTTTCCTAATCTATTGGTCTCATATTTAAAAATTTTCAGCATGACGTAAAAAGTGGTTTTTTCAAGTTTCAGTACTGCCACACATTGAGGAAAATCTAACTAGTCTCAATTCATTACTGAGTGCTTATTCAGCATTATTCATTGATACTACTCAATTAAAAAAGACAATGTACACCACACTGTATAAAAAACAAAGTCTAATGCATCAGGGCTATTTTAAATGTGATTATTTTTTATATTATATTTATCAGGTGTCAAATACAGAAAATCAGGTGGGTTTTTTTTCATAGCAAGAGAGGAAGTAGTAGTGGGCCCCCTGTTCAGGTCCATAGGAGCATGGCTGTAGGAATATTCAAGATTTACTGTACCTACTTTATTAAAGAAAATTGTCACATACTAATTCTACGTTCTAAGTCCTCTCAGATGTGATCCACCTTTGCCTGAGAAACCATAAAACCAACATTTATATTTCACTGAGCTTAAGCGAGCACATTCTTTGCTCACTACTTTTCTATGCTGCAACTATATTTCCATTTATTGGCATAAAAAGAGAGGTTTATGGTTTCTAAGTCTGTCAGGGTTAGTGCTGTTCAGCTGTGAGGCAGAATTCTGCACCCTTTCCTGTAGATACGCTCAGTCCTGCAGTGTCTGGGCTCACAGTAAAATGCACAACTGGAGGGAAAACAGTAAACAGAGAATTATGGCACCTGAGACCCTTCTTGAAAAAAATCATGGGAAAATACTTGCATTCTCTCTTGTCTGTTTGAAGAGTTTGTTGTCTCTTGATGCTCTCATACTGTCTGGGAAAAATAATCCATAGACTTATTCTTGGATTGTTAGTGCTTTCTTTAGTATTCATGCAGAATACCAAATTACAGCAATTTATTCTGGGCTCTTCTTATGTGTTTCATCAATGAAAATCAGGTATGTTCCTGATGAGGAATTACATCTGACCATAGTTCCTGATTGTGCATAAGTGTGACTGTTCTAACTAAATTTTCCTGTAAAGCTTGGCTTTTGTGATGAGAAGTCCAGTTCAGCCTACTGACATAGTGCACGTGGATCTTGAGGATCTGAGTTAATACACGCACATCTGCCATAAGAGTGACGGGTTCTTTAGCAAATGCCTCCATGTACCTGTAACTCAACATGTGCAATGCTGCCTCACACATCGCCTCCTGATGCCAGTAAGTTTATCTCTGTTGGCTCAAACAGACGTTGTACTGGAACTAAATTAACCCGAAGGAAACTGCTGTTACAGTACAAGAGTTCATCAACACAAGTGAAAGATTAAACATTTTCACGGAAGTCTTCATGCCCGTGCAGTGTTGAAGAAAGGGCAGAGGGAGCAAGTAGTTTATTAGCTTTTCTAAGTAGTCTCAAATGAACATGAAATTAATTTAAGATCTAACAGCCTGGCTGTTCTCAGATTGTTAAGAGCTTTTAAGTTGTCTTTTTAATTACTTGATTAAAATTTGCATTCACTTATTTTTTTAACATTAACATTGTCCCATAAGGATTGTAGGTATCTGTCAAAAACAAAGTGGTTTTTGTTTGCTTTTAAATGGCTCACATTTAGTAAATGTTTGCTGTCACAACACAAGGTCATAAGAGAACACATTATAAAAGCCGACATATCCTAATTTTTATTGTTTATCTATTTACTACTATTTGTGCTTTGTCACTTATTCTCTTTTCCAGTCTGAAGGTCTAAGTCCTGCAGCTTATTCCATATAGAAAAGGCAAACTGCCATTGGCTTGCTTAACATTCACTTCAAGCATTTTCTTTTCTCAGAGCTAGCTTCTGTTGAACATTAAACTTTTGAGTGGTTTTGACCCCTGCTGTCCAACTTCTCCATAAGATTTCATCAGATAGATACATTCTGCAGACAGAAAATATTCTTGTGTCTTGCTGAGCAGCAAGAAGTCATACTTAGTGCTTACATAACATTTAATAATATTTGCTTTACACGTTAATTAGTTTCCAGTTCTTCACCATAGGAATTCTGCCAATGCTTTGAACTAGAGACAGAATCAGGCCTTACTGTTCTATATTTCCAAACACCCACAGAAATACTTAAATGCTTCCTATGAAATGGATGCTTAAAATGTTAATTCAGATGGATGAAAGCCAGAGCTTCCACCCTGTCCTTCCAGTATTGAGTCTTCCTTTCTTAGACAGGACTACATAAGCAACAGAGAGAAATACACGAGCACACACAGCAAGCACCCAACTCCCAACCCCTCTGTGTCTCAAAGCTCTAAAACTTTCTTAATTTTGTGGCATTTGTGCATTCAAATCAAGAGGAAACAATGACACTAAACAACCGAGATAGTGAGAAACATGTTTTACTGCCAGATTGGCCCCATAAAATATAATGCCAATGACTGCAGGTTTTTGCATTGTAATAAAATTAATTTCAAATACAAAGAGTAAAATGCTCTGAAATTTCTTCTGTAAAAAGCTACACAAGTTCATTTTAATTTTGTTTAACAGAATAGTTACAAGCAACAGAAAAAGCATAAAAAACAAAATTTAATCCCTGAGATTATTTACATGATTTAATTTAGTATCATCTCTTACCTTTTGGTGCCTGGTACCTGAACATTTTTAGTCTGTAATGGGGAAAGGAATTCATGTTTATGCATGCATATTTGTTCTGATAGCTTTTATACTTTCACGAAGGCATTTCATACAACTGAATTTGTACCTGTCTGGATTCTAGCAGGTAAAAAAACAAATCAAAGTTTCATAGAGGGCTTAAAAAGTAGTAAAAGGCTTAGCATAAGACTGTGATAGTTTATTAAGAGGTTGTTCCATGTGTAGTGTATCTGGATACCTTTTTTCGGTTGTACAGTCATCTCAGCTGTTTGATTGCACTCAACTTCAAGCACTCCACAGGTAGCTAGTTTGTCCTTCTGTAGAAAGCTTCTGCCAGAAGAAATACTTAATGTTCCCCTCACAGCAAACAGACTTCTTTAAGACCTGCTGCTATACTATATATATACTATATATATATAACATGGCTAAGTATATTTTTAACATTATTGAGTAAAGGCAAGAATTTATCACAGTGATACAGTGGAGTAAATGTGTAAATGACTATAGAACCAGGACCTTCAGTTTAGCATCATGGAACTTTCCAGCACCTCCCTTTTGTAAAAAGGAGGGTGCTGAGCAGACCTACATGAATGACGTTAGAAAATTTAGAAACTATTCCCCTGAGACCAGTTCACTGTTAAAAATTTTCCTAGAAATTGCATTTCCTAGAAATTAGATTTTTTGTTAGGATTTCTGTATTTCCTCTGTTTTGACACAGATCACAGTAGTATAACTGACGTCATAAATGTGATCTTGTACCCATCCCTATTCTTAAGAACATGGTATTATATAAATCCCATTAATCAAGTCTCTCATCACCCTGTAGGACCATCATGCCCCTAGTTCATTTCTCTAGTTAGATATCCACTTCTTCAGAATAAGCTTTGGCCTTCAAAGAACACTGTAAGTATCTTCCATATTCTTTATCCAGACTTTTGCCTAAGGGTAATAAAGGAGATTTCTGTAATATCATTTGGAAAGATGTTAAATTTAAATAAATATGGTTAAATCTTGTGATGTTATTTATATATATTCTGTGTTTTGCAATAGCCTTTAACAAATATATTTTGTAAAATAAACCTAATAAAGAAAGGAAAACAAATTTCTTAGACAACATTTTCCAGCACATAGAAAAATCAAAATCTTGTTTTTCTTTTAAATAGGTTCTGTCTGTTTGCCAAAACTTACCTTCCAGCATTTTCACAAATCTTTCATAAACAATGAAAAATTTAGAATTTTAGGATGTCACACAATACTGTGATTATCACATTAGTGAGATAACATTTTAATATTATAATGGCATATTTAAAAGTTGTAACAGTGAATATATTTGTCTAAAGTATAACTGGGAATACAGTTTAATCACTGCAAAATCATAGCGTAGAAGAGATGCTTTCTGATTAACCCAAAGCCTCCATGAGATCAATAGCTATTAGCTGTTAGAAAACAGACTATGGTTCTCTATCCTCCAGGCCAAATATGGCCCAAATATCAAGTATGCTCTTCCAATCATTAGCAAAACCTTATAATACTATCAAACAGAAATTACATTTATCTCCTGCTGCCTAACCGTGCACCCATGGAGCAAGCAAACTGAAGGCAGAGGTCATCTAAAAGCTAGTAACTCTTATTCAGAGAAAGACACTTGTTCAAATCTTGACACTGTAACTACAAGGGTATTAGAGTATAACCAAGGGCAAGAGCTGTCTCTGAGAGAAATAAAAAAAGAGCACACCTAACGCTGGCACACAAGATTCTTGCTCGTCTGCCTGAGTGTTTTTTGGTAAACCAAAGAGCACCTTCAGTCATCATGAAACCATTTGCAACTCAGCAACTAGTTCCTGAAGATCATATGAAGGGAGAAGTCCTCTTTTCATGTAACAGTTCAGTGATGCAGCAACATGCCAAGAGAGGAAAATCTAGGCAGTTGCCTCCCCTTGCTAAGAGAGACTTGAAACCCACATGTACCACTTTCCAGGGACATACTGCCCCATCACTATCTATTTGAACGCTCCCCCCTTCCTTCCCTGTCATTTTGTGCACGTTGTTCTCATCTGCTTTACTGCCATTCCACTTTGCATAAGGTACTTAAATATTCATGAAAGTAGCAAAAAGAAACCAGATTTTCTAATAAATGAATGCCCTAATTAACATGCTATGAACTCATCTTTGATGACTAGCTGAACAAATACTCAGCCAGAGCAGGCTGTGACACACAGCAGTTCATCCCAAAAAAACTTGCCAGTAGAGTCCCTAGGTCACAGCGCTAACAGACAGAGATTCAGCTCTTCCCAGGGCAGAGAAGTGGCTCAGAAATGGAAATGCCACACTGTGGTTCTGAGTACTGAGCTCAGAAACAAGAGCGAGACAGGACCGTCATCATTTTGGGTGAAGAGTGCTAGGACTAGTCTTCATTGTTGCTGCTTTGGATGAAAGTGAGTTGATTTCTTATTGGTTCTTCAGTTCAGCAAAAATAATAATTTGAGCTAGTAAAAAAAAATGGGTTTAGTGTTATGATTTTGGGAAAAAAGAAAAAAGAGTTATTTGTTGCTCCCTTTCTGCCTAGTTACTCCTGCTGTCTTTTGACATTTAAATAAGTCTTTGAACCTTATTTCACTTCATTACTGTGAGCTGTACCCTTCCTTTGTTTATTTCTTGACTTTCTTTCTCTTCCCTCTGAAGTAACATGCAATTCGTCTTACTGTGTTTAAAAAATAATAAATAATAAAATGAACTCTGAATTCCTCCTCTGCGTTTCCCAGTAGTAAAACATAAAACCACTCAAGAGTTGTTTCATTTTGTTTTGTGGGTTTGTTTAAAAAGTGTATCATAATATTTATAATGTGCCAATATTCAAAAGTTCCCACTTACTTGAAGAATAGCGATGATCATCAAACGTCACCAAACAGACAAATATTAAGCCTGTGTTGAGATCACAACCCACAGGAAACAACACAAAAGCCATTTGTCATAAAGCAAGTTCTCAGCCAGGACCATAACACATTAATCTAAGCTAAGCAGATAAATGCAAGCTTAAGAAAACCACCAGCAGCTAGCTTAAGTTCTTCATTTCCCACCACTGAACAGTGCTCAGAACAGTGTTGTTTTCACTGGGTCCCCAATGTAGCATTTAAATCAAGATAAAACCTTGAAACTCTCAAGATTGTAAACACAGCTTTGTGCCATCTTAGGAAGTTTTTCCTTCAGACAAAATGGATTCCAAAGCAAAGAGCCCATGCAAGTCTCTAGAATATGAAATTTTTCTGGCAAATCCATACTTAAAGCTGAGTAGTGCATTCTTCATCTTCACTGAGATAAATCACACCCTTTCTTGATTACATCACTTAAAGCTATGAACTAAGAAGAATGAAAAACTATATCAGATATTAATTTGGATGACTTCCATTAGAATCAAACAGTGATATGTCAAAACCAGTACCCAGTTTTACAATATTACATTCAGGAACACAAATTTTATCCTATTTGCTATTCACAAAATCCTGTCAGGTGGAACTACAGCATCTATGTGTCCAGTTCAACTGTCATTGTACAATGGAAATTGTTGGCATAATGGGCAGAAATGTATATACACTCACAGTCTGTCAGCTCCTCTTAACCAGCTTTTTGCCATCCAACTCAGTCTTACTAGAATTAAGTTTTTATTTTTTCTCCAAATCCTCTGTTCTGTCTCTACTATAAATAATGATTGTATGCTTTCCCACTGCCACCATAAAGGTTCACAATGTTAGCAGTGAATTTTTATTTTGCTTCTCCTTTTCCTTACAGGAGGTAGCAATTATATTATCCAGGATTGTTACCTCTCCCTCCTGTTTGCTTCTGAAAATCTTCTGGTTTTTCATTCCAGAACATTCCACTGTAGGAGGTACTATACCATTAAATCCTTTTCAGTCAATCTAATTCAGCCTAGAAGATGCTTCAAAAAACTTCCCTCTCCACATCTCTGTTTCAATTTTTTTCTGCTCCCTATCTGAGGTTTTCATCTTATCATTCCATTCACAATGTTTACTCACTTCTATACTTTCTCTGCATTGAGATTCCGCATTCACTTCTCCATGCTTTTCTCCTTTGCTTATTGCAAAACAGCTTCCCTACTCATTTTAATCTCTTTAAAAAAAAAAGCTAATCGCCTGTGAAATATTAGAGCAGTAGTATTGCAAGTAAAATAAATTTTACAATGCCTCAGATGGCATATCAAGTCTGAATTACTTTGTTTAGAGTTGCTCCTTAGAGCAAAAACTGCTGCGTAGAAGAGTGTGTATCTGTTATGATAGTAAAGACACTGTCAAACAAATAAGTAGTAACAAAATCGCTCGGGCAGATGTACTGGCTGACTGTGCTTCAGTCAGCTGCGCAGCACACAGGTTCTTACCTCTCATGTAAGGTCTAGGGGAAAAGTTTTATCTAAGGATTAATTTTGTTGCTATTCCACAGAAGCAGCATAAGTGAGCGATTTAAGTCAGAGGTATTACAAGGGTAATATTAAATCAGTTACAGAGATCAAAATGGATTTTTGCCATTTGCCTTACCTTTTCCCTCGCCTCCTCCCTGAAAATCACTGTAAGTGTTTGCAGGTGCCCAGTTTACATGTCAGCAGTCAGGGTGCTGGCAATCAAAGTTTATCTGAAATACTTTGCATACTTTATATACTTTCTTTAAAAAAAAAACTTTGCAGATTCTTAGAAGGCAGCTCAAAAATCTCATCCTTGAGTGATTTTGTGCGATCCTGTCCTCCATTTTAAGTGATACTTCACAGATACAACTTTTCCTTTTAACAGTTACACTATTTTATTACTCTTCTTTTCCTTCCTCATATTTTTATCCATCTCTTATCTTTTCCCAGCCTGCTAAATTAAAAAACATAATTTTCAAAGTTTTACTTATCTATTCTGTTGTATCTCTATAAATCCATCACTTTTTACACTATAGGCTTATATGTGTACTTAAATAAATAATAAATAGGAATACCCAACATCTTTATTCAGCTACCTTTTTATTTTAAAGGACTCATGCCTGCTGCATTCCAACCTGTGTACTGTGCTACAAAGCATGGTGTAATTGGATTCACACGGTCAATAGCAGTAAGTATGTGTTTTCAACAATGCTATCAGCAACTCCTTGGGAACATGCTAAGTTTCTTGTGTTCCCTCTGTATTGTCATACAACTGGAACTAATATTCTTAAAGAAAACAAAGCGTCTGAAGCAGCTGAGGTTCTCTCCTTTCACAAAAGGAATCCAAAGATGGAATATGTAAGGCATGTGTGCGTTTATGACTGATTTGAGATTTTGGGAGCATGGAAGAAAGACACTGAAAAGTAATTTAAGGACAGTGGGAGGAGCCCAAAAGTCAAATCTTCATCCAAGCTTTAAAAATATTTTTCATAACTCCATCCCAGCCCTTTAACATTTTGGTTTCCTTGTTTGTTGGTCAGGTTGATGAATTTTTTATAATTAACAGATGTTAAAGTGGACAAAAAGTGACTAGAACACAAAAATGTGTACCATTTTCTTCTTCCCAACTCTTAATATACTGAAAATGAAATATAACACATTAGGGATGGGACATGTCAGATGTTATATGACCATATATTAAGTCTTAGCCTTTGACTTCAAAAATTTCTAGTTAAGTTGAACAAGCAGTATGATAAAATAACATGAAGGGAGTAAACATGATTACATTTCATAGGCCATGGCTAAAGACAGTCTACTCATATACGATTTCCAATTAATTTCCAAAATATAGCACATGAAACAATAATTTAGATAGCTTATCCGTATTTTATACTCCCACCGAAATAACTTCTTTTTCAGATTAACCTGAACAGATTAGTATGGATAAGTGTTGCATATAACATACTAACCACAGCATGTGTTTTTGAAAACAGTACCAGTTATTATTATGGCATAAGATAAACATAACCATCTAAGTTCAAATATAAAGGGCCTGCTAGAAAACTAGACGAAATGCTGTCTCTATGGAACATGAGAGTACCATGGAGAAAAAGAGTAATAAACATAGTGAATCACTGCATTTAACAGGAAAGGCAGTATAGCCTAACATTGGGCAGGTTGGGATACAAAACATTTAGGATTTCAATTTCTTTTCTTCTTCAGACCAAAAGGACAGGCTGTCACATCATGAAAATCACATGTGATTTACATAACACCAGAAAGGATTCCTGTTAAATGTGAAAATAAATAGAATTCAGTGTTGAACAGTTACGGTTATTCTTCAGTGTATCAGTTCATGAGTACTGTGCCAGCGCTAAGAAAGTTCATCCAGCGTTCGATGTATGCCTGGATGCTGATCAGACTTCCTTGCTGCACACGCGCATTCATCGCACCACAAATGAGTGGTCCTACCATTCCCAGAAAAATTTGTGCTGCTTGCTTTCATCATGTTCCTGAATTTTGCCTGTTTCCTGGAGTTCACAGGGATCTTTCTGTGGAGATGCTCAGTGTTAGATTCATCCCTTGGCAGGGACAATACGGCAGCTGGAAAGGTTTAGCATTGCAGTTGTAGGGGTAGAGACCAAATCCTATTTATGTTGACATGAAGGAGGTGAATAGAATCTTAAGAGTTAAATCTTGATTTGATTTTGGATAGTATTCTTTTAATAAGAAAGCTCTTATAAGATTAGACACACACATTTGGTGGAAGATTTTTTTTTACTTGGTTTTGCTTATGAGAGTTATATCATCACCCTAGAATATGGTTAATCATATGCCAAGAGCACTAATCACAAAAATATTAGTAAAAAAAAAACACACAAAAAAACCACAAAAAAAACCCACAACAAACTAGCTACACAGAAAGACGATTGTTGATTTCTTGTAGAATTGTTCTCTCAGCAAAACAGTATTTTTCTAGTAATCTAGTACCTCGACTAGAGGAAATGTGCTTTCAACTTAGTTGTTGAAACAAAATAATCAGTAGTAAAAAAATCTGCTTACTCGGCAAGGCTGAAAAGTACTTAGTGGTTAATCCCATTCTCTGAAAAATTATTTCCACAATAGCATTTTAAAATGTTGATTATGAATGCCTAACTCTTTCTCTATTCTAGTTAGCTGCTAGTATGGAAAACTACGGTGTGAGACTCAACACCATTTGTCCAGGATTTGTCAACACACCAATTCTTCAGTCAATAGATAAAGAGGAGAATATGGGACAATATTATTCATACAAGGATGAGATCAAAAATATGATGCAGTTCTATGGTGTGATGGAGTAAGTAGTTACAGTGGTTTTCTGCTCTTTGTTAATGAGGAACAGGCACACACAATAGTACTTTCAGCAAAATTAAAAGGGAAATGCTGCCTTAGATACAAGTCTATCAAAAGTGCTGTGCAATTAATGCTGTATGACTGTGTTGTTTCACCAATACATTTTCATACGTGAAATATATTGCACCTAGTGACCACAGCAAAGTAAACATGATGAAATTCTCCTTGCGCTAACTCATATGTCAGTCCTGCTACAGAAACAGGATAAATCAGCAGCAAAGAGCTGCAGGGGATTGTGTAAGGATTGCACAATTTTGTCCATTGCCCTGACAGAAAAAACCTTGATAGGAAGCCCAGTGGCAGCTGGATGTCCACAGGGATTTATCAGTAACTAGAGCAAACAAATGATGATTTGTAAGGTTGCTGCTTTGCATTTTATGTTCTGATTGAAGAGACTGAATTTCACTTCTGAAACACTTGTACCACCTCTGCTTTTCTTGAAAATAAATTTGTTCAAATACCAATTTGTTTAATTTTCAGGATATATAGATTTGCATTTAGTTTCTCTACCTGTCTTTTTCATGTGTTCTATTACAACATGACTCTGAAATAAGAACTTTTTTTTTTCCCAGCCCATCAATAATTGCTGAGGGACTGATAACAATAATTGAAGACGATACTCTAAATGGAGAAGTTATGAAGATTACAGCATCACAAGGGATTCATTTTCAACAATATGGCCAAATGCCTTTTACATCATCAAAGAGATAAATAATTGGTTTATGCTAATTACTTTTAGCTTTTCTTAAATACAAAAAAAATTTTGAAGAGAGTAACTTTTGGAAAAAAAGGTTAGCATTGTATCTAGAGGAGTGACAGTGTTCAACCATTTACATCCTAATAGCAAAAAGATGGACAAGAAAATCTGATGTGGGAAGATTTACCATCCTATTTTGATTCTATAAGCACTAATAATAGTATTTATTCAGTAGAATAAACACACTGCTCTGAAGATTTTTGATTATTTAGTAATAGGGGCCATTTTTTTCCTTCTGGTAGTTCTGATCTACATTGGTGGACGTGACTTACTTTTATAATTCTTTTCACTCTCAGAAGGGTCCACTTATTTGCATCTCGAATTCTTCAGATTGCGAGTTCAGTTCAGAAATCTAGAACACAAACACAAGGAGATAAGAATTTTACTTTTTCTTATAAATTTTACTTTTTCTTATAAAATGTAAAATAGGTAAAATTCTCTTTCCTCATTTATATACACAAGTGAATATGTTGCAAATGACACAAGAAAGTAGAGACTTTTACCTTCTTGGATTTTAGCTATTTATAAAATAGTTCAGAAATATTTTGAGGGTTTTTTTAAATATATATATATATGAATTTTCTCTTTCTGTATATACAAGGAAGAATACTTTGGCATTGATTGAAGTGTTTGCTTACTCATTAAATCTCATTTTCTAAACCTTTAAAAATCTAATTTCTTACCTTGATTAAAATCTGACTTAATTCCTGAATAAAAAAAATCTGGGATTTTTAGTGTTTTATACATGTATATTTTGGTATCATGATACACATTCTTATATGGAGCAAGTCACACAGTGGCACTGAAAAGAAAAAAATGAACTCCCTACTGCCTCAGTGTGACTGGACCTTCTATGTCCAGGTCAATCCCCAGTCACATTTATGAAAAACCTTGGTACTCCATGGGTTACATGCCTGGAAAGAAATTTTTTTACATGGTACTTTATTTAGGCTCATAGCTTAAGAAGATTCAGTAACTCCTGAGAAAGGTGGGAAAAGTTAATATTTACCATCCTTAGGAGTACTAACTTTAATTTCACTGATGTTAACATTGCTTTTTTTCAGCGCTGTAACTAAAAGAGTGGAAACATGAATATATATCTTCTCTGGAAGTCAGGGAATAATAAGACTGTGGAGAGAAGAAAAGAAGTAGACATGCATACCTTGACTTCTACATCATTTTTCACCCATCTCCATTGTTAGCTACGTTAACGCTATTCATATAGCCTATTTCAAATTCACGCGTGACATCAGCCACATCATCAGCATCCCTGAAAGCATCTGTACGTCCTTCTGGACTAACATCTACTATCCAATTTGATTTTATCAGTATCTGCTTTTATCTCATTAAGATCAGAGTATTTCCTAATATGTTGCAGAGTAGTGCAAAAGTTGTGATGTAAACTTAAAGTCAGCATGCTTTTTTAATTGGGTACTGACACTGATAATCATATACTTTTGCTTCTCTCCTTGTTGAGGAGTATTTCAATGTAGTTTATAAAAAAGGGAGGATTTCATCACAATGGTAGTATATGCAAACCATGTAACTAACAAACACCACACTAGATTAGGTACTCAGCAGCTTCTCTTATTAACATACATCAAATAACAATGGGAATATTGTAAATGCCAGTTCGTATGTTGATGATATATTGTTACCTTGATTGCTTTTGTTCATTTCTACTCCTTGCTGCCCGAAAAGAAACACCTGTTAAACAAGGAAGGTGAAGTTTTACGAGGGATCAATGGAAGAATATATAATTTAAGAATCTTAGTAAGAAAATGCTAAAAAACCGATGTATGCTCCCTGGAAGAAAAAAAAAAAAGAAATTTGATTAGAGCCGATCACTTTAGACATTGCACAATTAACTTGTGGTACTGCACCAGTATGAAATTCTAATTCTGTGACTTGGCAGTATTCTAAGAATGGATTCCATGTATGTGATCTATCCACAGTCACTCAAGACAAAATTAGATTAATAAAATATGTAGTTAGAGTCCAGGACACCTGGAAAACCTAAGCCTATATCTGGGAAACAATTCAAGCCATATCCTTCTTTTATGTATAGATCTGTTATTCTGAATTATTTTGGTAACTCAAAGACAGACATCTTCAAATCAGTCACACAGAAAACTTCATGAAAGGCAGATACTGCATTCACTTCCATCTGATAATCTGATTAGAAGGTTTCTGAATGAAATACATTCTCATACAATAAAATAAACATTTATACTAAGGTAAATCTTAAATTACTAACACATCTGGAACTCACTGAAAGAAACAAGGAAGTAACAATGAAGTAAAACTCTTGATGCAAATTCTAGTAGGAAAAATAGCCATCAAATTTCTACCTTTTAATTAAAAACAAAAATGCCTCAAACCAAATAATACCGTTTTCCAGTTTCAGTGAGTCTGTATTAAAACACATCTAAGGGTTTTATCTGCACAGGAAGAACAAGTCCTAAATAAGTTTTGGAAAGGTTTCCTGTAAGACTTCCCCTCAACCTTTGGAAGTCTTCCAGAAAGCAAGAAAAAGAGCATATGTTTGCTTTACAGACAGAAACACCGAGAAGCAGTAGGTAGAAAGATGAGTTAAAGGGAGAAAATGAGTTTCATTTTTGCACAAAGATTGTTTTGAAACCTCATCTTCAGTTAAAAATCTTGACATAATTCCAAGACTTAATTTATTTTGCCTTAGAGATCATCGTTTTTAAGTTGACTGTTCTAGCTTTGTCGGGAAACTCAGCCAAAAGGAAAAATAAATATTTTAAATGAGATACACTAATTGCCAAGAACATAAGATGATAAGTAATGATCTAGACTCATGTAATGAACATTATATGTAATGAGCATTCAATACCATGTGACACAAGTTTACTTTCCAGTGGTCCTTGCAGCTTCAAATGGGAATCTTTTAACGGTAATGAATAATTATCACCAGTGAACGCTATTATTTCAGTGCTTATGATCCTACATGAAAGCCCAAATCACAAAGCATTTCAACCTCTTTGTGACATGACAGCGTTACTTTGTTTGTATTATTTAACGCCTTGATTCCAGGAAATATTTTTGAAAAGGTACATAACTGCAGTCCTTGACATAATTACATAGATAACACTATATTCTGTTCAGAACAACATGGAATTGACTTGTATTATGTGTATCACAAAATCATATGTGTATGAATTTCATTACTGAGGGGTTGATTCATGCAGTAACAAGTACTCCTTGTAGTTTCCTTAAATTAAGGAAGTCCTGGTATGGGAGACTAGACCTCTTCCTCTTTCTTGAAATTTAAGTTTTACAAACAAAAAATTCCCACTTTAGTAAAACCAAAATCTGGTTTCCACCGAAATCTTGAATACAAGTCTAATCTATAAAGGAACATTTTTAGATACTTAACAGTATCTAAACAGTATGGCTTTTGGGCAGGATGGGGCTCATCTAACAGATAATGATTTCCTTCCTCCAGCGCTGAACTGCTCTAAACTTTCTACAGGATGATACTCCAGCTTGAACTTCCCTTTTAGCTATTTGCATACTGTTTACAGTTTTCAGCTTTAGCTCCAGGAGTCCAGATGGTTCTATGAAAGTGAAGGATAACACCATATGACTTAGCTTTCTATTTTTTCTTTCTCCAGTACAAAAAGGAACAGCGTAATGTCAAGTCAAATTTGTAATTCAGGCTGAGAGGGACAGTAAACAACAAGAGTTATGATCTTACTCTGAAGGGGACATTAAACAGGAAGAGAACAGATCAGATAAAAATATATAAGATGCAAAAAGGCTAAGCCTAAAACATCTTTAAAATAAGTAACTTGACCCCATTGTTTATGTGGAAGGCCATTATTATGAACTGTGGACCAAATTTGAATTCTAATGTTTTCTGACTTGTAAAGTGACAGTCTAACACACTATTCTCAGGGAATCAGAGGATAAAATGAGGATTATCACAGTAAAATTTAACCTTAATGAAAAAAAAAGTAATCTGTTTCAAGCAATCATTCTTTAAGCACTGAAGCATTCACAACACTTACATATTCATCTTCTTTTATTTTTCCACAAGTTCTGCTCATTCACTGCTGGCATCTACTTGGCCAACCTTACAGGGATTACCACCACTGCAGAGGCAGAATTAATTTCTTGCTACAGAATTGCACTTTTCAGCTTTCACTTTAATCAGAGTGTTCCTAGTCCTCCTGCTTTCACACAGAAGAGAGGCCACAAAAGACAGGAAGATCACCTGGTGACAGGTCTGACATCTGGTCCAGAACTTCTGTATGGTTTAATGTTCTAGATTTAGCCTCATGATGCAGACATTTATTGTGGTGGCATCCAAGAAGAATGCAAAAAAAAATTTAAATAAAAACCGATTTAATTCCTTATCTATAACCCTGACCTTGTCAGCTCCTTGTCTGCATATTGCCATTGGACTACCTCAAACACAAGCATTCCAGCGGTGAACTACACTCCAGCTACACCAAACCACTACTGTGCCTCTTCAGCAATCACCAAGAACATACTTAAGACATCATTCATTTCCCTGATTTTAGACAAATTGTAAGGTCAACTTATCAGCTCACATGATGCTCCACAGAAGTGGCTCAAGGTATCTCAGCAGCATTTTTCTTTTTGCAATGCAAGATTTCCTCAGCAGCTGCAATCTTGAGAAACCAAAGAAAAAAGAGGAAATAAGTTTCCCAATGACACAGCTTTGAACTTTCTAATATAGAATATGAGAACGAGCACACTTCTGCCTGCTTTCAGAAAAAGCACAGATAAAACTCTGAGTGCGCTTTCTCATAGCTGCAAACAAAACCCACATAAGAGAAAATAAAGATGTTTCTGGAACGTAGGAATGTAAAATTCTTCAGAAAAATAGTTGCATTTTATCTCATCTAGCCACTCCTATTTACATAAATGACTAATATTTCAGAATCCTCTACAGTATTTG